TACATCATCTCTGTTCTGACTCGCGCACTTGAGCATCGTCCTCACGACTCAATCACGGGTATACAAGGGGTTTCGGAAGTAAGGTCAGTAGAATTGTTGATACCGTACTGTGGAGAGCTCGTGTCTCTCCTTGCGCACTGATTGTGTTTGCACATCTTTCCCGAGGGAAATCTCCTAGCACCTTTCTGCGGCATTCCGAGAAGGGAGAGTTCGTCTACGCTCGTGGCATTCCAGAGCAAGTAGCAACTCGTGTAAAGAGATTGACCTTGATTAACTCCTAGATACTCGAACAAGGGTCTCACACCATAACGCAAACCTATCCATACACTACAGCTCGCCAGGATCGCTTCGTTGATAGATACACGGACTGCATCATCATACGCAATCCCTGAAGAGGTTCCCACAATGGTGAGGAAATTGGAACCACAGAAGGTCCATGCACATTTGTTGTCCAAGGGTTGACAGGAGAGGAATACTCCACCATGCCATTGGAGGCTATTAAAGCACAGGCGTTGGAGCATCTTACATCCAATAAAAAAAATATGTTTGTTGGCCACTCTGATGAGCCTAACTCAGTTTATAATAATCCTCAACTATTTCCCTCAATGTTACCATGGTTATTTCCATATGGTTTTGGTGGCATATGTAACAATATGATTCCTAAAAATATTTCTTCCATGGCACACAAGCGTCTTCTATTAATGTATCATGATAAACGCTTCCAGATGGACCCACATTTTCCATTGATAGGGTTTAACCATGAACAAATACAACAAAGTACAACAGGTGGATATCTTACAACCAAAAAGTCCTCATTTTCCTTGGTCACAGATCGCCTGTTAAATCTTGATATGGATGTTTTATCTGGTATCAATAATTGGGGGAGCGTGTGAAGCCTGAAACAGAGCAGGAAAAAGAATGCTTCCAGCTACTTACCGATTTAGATTCAGTGGGAGGTCATGTGCAGGGATCCATTACATTACGAGTCCTCTGAGTTTACGAAGAGACTCGTTTATTACCCTTGATCTCAAGGAATTTTTCAGTGTTCTAACGCTGAACTTTGCCTTTTTCCCACGAAAATTGATGGTTTCCCACGTTCAGGGTTTCAGGGTTTCTAGCCTTTTGTAGTCTTCCATGTTCAGGGTTTCAGGCACTCTAGCTGTTTGTACGCTTCTGTCATCATTTTTGTAGTTGATGGTACACAGTACAAGGTTTTGTCCATTTGAATCACTTCTGTAGTGCTGTAGACAGCAATGCATTTGTTGAACTTGATTGGCAGACATTACTAGGAAATGTAGACATATCATAGAAGTATTTTGAGCTAGCTTCAACAACAATGTGTATGTCCTCACTCTTGGTTGCAGTCCAGTTCTTACATATATGGTATTAACTTAGAATGTTAAGCCTGTCTCATAATGTAGACAACAGCTCACTTTAAAGGTGGGACATGGAGGACAGTGTTTTCCAATCTTCAGCAAGCATAAGCTTGTCCAAGATGGTATCTTGTAAGATGTCAAATGGGATGGTGACTCACATTCCCTTTTCTAATTGTTCGTCAGTTCAATATGGTAGTAGATTAGCTGGCTTACTTGGCTCAGATTCTTGTTCAAAATGGTTGCCCATCAAACTATTTGTGTATGTTGAAGTTGGACCCAGTGATGTCACATTTTTTGAAACAAATACAAACAGTTTTACCATGTACGCAGTAAAGTTGTTTGTATATATTGAAGTTGAACTCACGTGATATTGATGTATCAGCTGGAAACAAATACAAACTGTTCTACCGCGTACGCGGTAAAATTGTTTGTACATATTGAAGTTGAACTCACGTGATATTGATGTATCACCTGCTCAAGTTTTATTTTTTTCTTATTGCTACCAACCGTTGACTGTATCCAATAGAAAACAATGTTTGAAATTACTCAGACTGCAGTTCATAAAATTATGACATTATATACTACCAGTGCATAAGTCGTTTGTCGCACCCTTCAGTCCAGGCGCATCTTGCTCAACTTCTCCCCAGTGTCATGCTCTTCATCCTCTTCATAACCAATCTTTCTCTTCAGCGATTGGCTTGCCCGACGGGGTTCAGCACCTCTGCTCATGCGACGTGCAATACTTGCATTCTGTTTTCTGTTAGCATTGTGTACTTTGGCTGAATGTTGGCTTACTCGTAGTGGACTGCAATCTAGTAGAGTGATAGCTCGTAGCACCACCAGTATTTTGTATCTTTGTTGCTTAAGCGGTATTGCAACGAATGATACCTGCACTTCCACAACATCTCCTGGACGTATCTTCATTGGGTTGATTTCATAGTATCTGTGAGGTATTAGTCAAATTTGAATCATTTGAGTGCTCCATTGCTTACCGTATAATATTATCGGTTCCTTGTTGCACTTCATAATAATCAACCTTATTTTCCAGGAGGTGAACAAATTCATTGGACAATGCGTTCGTAAGTATATTGTGTGGGTCGATCTCAGTGCCAAAGGAAATAGGAGCGTCACCGTTTATATCACGTCGGTCTGTGAAATAGCGGTTGCCCATATCCAATGCTTTGAATGTTTCATAATAACTAGGAACCCATGCATCCATGGTGTTGTGGGGTAGTGATCACTCAAAAATGTGCTGTATGTCGTAAATGTTTTCAATCATGGTGGAAAATTTTGTTCCCCCAAGTCCCGTCAAAGCTAATGATTGCTTCAGATATCTTCGCTGCTTTGACTCTCTGTTATATGATGCTTTAGCTTGTTTACGCTTCACAGTTAAGGAAATACTTACATTTTGAATGGTCGTTTCACAGGTGGAAGACTTGCATTGCAAACAATACCCTGTATGTGCAGTACGACTTCTTCTTGGCTGTTGTCATCAATGTTGGTCTTTGTGAGCTTCCAACATCTTGGTTTGTCCACCTTTGTTACTGAGCATAAATCAGACATTCCATCCACCTGTTATTGGGGTGTGAGTATGTCTCAGATAATCTATAACACTATACCACTGCTCACCGAATTAAAATACGCCAATTGTACAACCTTTGGACCCTTCGTTGTCCTAGCAGTTATGACGGCCTCAAGCAGATCACCTAGTATATAAAATTAGTGACTCTACACATCCAGTTAAAGAGGGTACTTGCATGCTTCTATCTTGTTGTAAAAAGAATCCATTGTAGTGAACGATGTACTGTGACTGGTAAAGTGTTCCAACTACAGAAGGTGGGGTGGGTTTGATTCTCTTGGAGTTTTTGGTGGCCTTACCAACAGATCTGCAGTGGTTGATGAGCCCTGACAAAATATGGTGCGATATTGTTGGATGACTTGGCTAGATATTTTCTGATGCATTTTGAATCCCTGTGGCGCTGTTTAGCTCAATATAATACTGACTAGAGAGTTTTTGAAAAAAATATGGTGCGATATTGTCGGATGACTTGGCTAGACATATTTTCCGATGCATTTTGAATCCCTGTGGCGCTGTTTAGCTCAATATAATACTCACTAGAGGGTTTTTGACAAATATGGTGCGATATCAACGGATGACTTGGCTAGACATATTTTCCGATGCATTTTGAATCCCTGTGGCACTCTTTAGCTCAATATAATACTCACTAGAGGGTTTTGGAAATTACCAACCCATAGATTGTTCATTCCTCTCAGTCGTTGTTAAACCTTGTTTGAAATTGTAGACACTCCAGGTAATTAGTTAGCTTTTGTGATAACTTCATGAAAAACTGTGGTTTTACCTATGCTGTTCTAATGCTGTATGCCTACCCTATTTGGTCATGCAGTTCTGTTTCTGAAAACCCTAACTGGTTTGAGGAACCTCTAACGCCACTAGTATACATTTGTGGCGTATATTGTTATATGCATATTCTGTCAGTTACCCCTTTGCAGGGTCGCGTTCTGGAGCTGGGATCAGGGTGGATGTTTGGTATTCCATCGAACGTCATAGCTGCAGCTGTATTGAACAAGTGTCCCTTGATAAATTGCTTTTGCTCCAAATAATAGAAAATAGTGAATGAGTGAATTTGTCTGGCGTAGGACTTAGCGTTTTTTTCCCCATCGTTCATCTCAACCATCAACTTCACTTTCTGCTTTGTTGGTATCGCCATGAACTTTCATTATCATCACTCAGGTTTGTGTTCTGCTTTTTATTCAGTCTTTCCGCCATGTTCCTGATATAATGAACTTAGGCCTGTACACACAATCCAGACAGCCAGCCTTTCCTTTGCATCGACCTTCATTTACAGGTATTAGTTGGACATTCATTCCTCATATCAAGTAGTGGACTCACCTATGATTCTTTTCCCAGAAATTGAATCACGGTCATCCTCTCCAACAATTTCCTCACCTTCTATGTCAGATCCTGGCTCGCCAACTGAATTATGTGTGTTTATCTCCAATTCGTTGTTGACCTTCATATGTTGATTTCTTGTTATTAGCATCCATGCCCTTGTTTGTAGATGGACCTGCTCTTCGTACATTTTTCAGCAATTCGGTTGCAAAGGGCCGAGAGTCGGTTTCCTCAGCTCAAGCAACTCTATCTAATCCACCATCGTTTCTCTGGCAAATGACATCAGAGCAACTGGTAGCAGTTCCAGACGATCCAATCTCACATCTGTGAGTTGGCAGACCTTTATCATTTGAAAACTAGTATGTCGCTACTTTGTCATCTTCATTTGTTATCGTTTTGAGCAACCATAGTTCCACAGAATGCCACCTTCGAGTATCCAACAAACATTCTCCTGCATATACCGCTAGACATCCAGAAGCTTATTCTGGATAACTTGGCCATTCCAGCCTTGCTCAGGCTATCAAAATGCTGCCGTTATCTATCACATTACGAGTCCTCTGAGTTTACGAAGAGACTCGTTTATTATCCAGGATCTCAGGACTTTTTTCAGCGCGGTAACGCTGAAATTTGACTTTCTCCCACGAAAGTGATTTCTTCCCATGATCATCTGCTTGGTTCGCCTACATGACTTTCCTAGTCTACTTGACCATTCCTTGATTATTACTGTCTTTTAGCCCTATCCAGGTTGTCGTTGATGTAGGTTGTGGCTAATATATTGCTCTATTTGGCTTCCAGACTCTGATGAATGAATGCATTGCCTCTATTTTCATGTTCATGCAACTCAACTTGTTTACATTGAAGGTACAACAATTAAGGTCCTGACAACTTGTGCAAATGAGCCCATGCTCTGGTGAAACAGGCCACAGGAATGTACTGAGCAGTTGGTGAGCATAAGGCAAAAAAGCGAAAATACAAACCTACTTACCTGGATGGGAACTCAACCATTTTGTAAATGGCTTTGTGGAGCATGTTTGTGGAGTGCATAGGTATTGAATTGAGTCCACGCCCATGTGAAATGGACCACAGGAAGGTACTAAACAATTGGTGAGCATAAGGCAAAAAAGCAGAAATACAAACCTACTTACCTTGATGGGAGGTTGACCGTTTTGTAAACGGTTTCATGGAGCTTGTTTGTGGAATGTGTAGGTATTGAATCGAGTCAATGCTCAAGCAAAATGGACTGCAGGAAGGTACTGAGAAGTTGTGAGCATAATGGTGAATATTCCGCATCAAAAGGAACAACTCACAAGTTGAGTCACGGAAATTTCCGAAAATGACGTACTTCCCTTGCGGGCTACCTTCAAA